ATTTTTATTCCAAATCGCCGCCTCTTATTGCCTCCTCCTCTATTCTCTTAAAAGTAGCTTTTGCAAAATCTTCAAGCCCTATGCCTTTAAATCAGCTTCATTCGAGAGGTTTTTTTTGCATTTACAGAGCCTTTTGTAAGAAAAATCTGTGCCATAAATGACACCTCACATGGATGACTCGATGGATTAGACTTCAAGATAAGTTGTCAAATTCGAGGCATAGATTTCCTCGAAATTATTACAGAATCACAGTATCCACAGAATAAATCATTAGCAGTAACATGACGACATGCCCATCCTGATCAGGTTAGAGCCCTACATGTTCCAAGCGGTCTAGAAAGCCCAGGAGATACTCGAGGTTAATTTGGGCAGTTTGATTTAAAATTTATTTTTCAAATCAGCCAAATGCTGAACGACTATGGCGTTATGTTAAGCGATTCTCTGCTTAACGCGATTTCGGATTATCACCAAGGGAACATCGATTCTTTTAAATGCATCATTAATAGCGTGCTGAATGATTCTTGTAAGTTTAAAGTGAATTATTTTAGCTCTTAACGGGTCTTCAGAAATTGAACCTGGTATGAACTATCTTCACGATAGGCTTTGTTCTCTGATTTGTCTTGGCTTTTATTCAATCTTCCAGGGAGATGTAGAAAAGGATGCTCGAAAAAGCGCCTTTTTCTACGACGAGGCCGCAACGTTCCTCAATGAATGCGACAAGATAAACCCAGAACATCCTCTGCTTTGGGTTTCTAAGGGCGTCCTCATTATGGCCCGCAATAAAATGCTGCGAGAAAGACATGTATATGAATCGGCTAGGGCACATTTCCTATTTGTATTGGAGAGGTATCTAGACTTCACCCCTGCACTGATTGGGCAGGTTGTTTTTCTCATTTTATTTGTAGGCAATTGCAGAATTTTCAATGGGAGAATATAAAGACGCCATTAGATCATTAAAGCACATTCTGTTGTCGGAAGGGAGTAAAAATACACCGCCCGGCGTTAGGACTGCCCTCGGATTGTGCTTCTTCAACCTACAAGATTACCAATCCGCCAAAAAGTGTTTTCAAAGACGAATATCAATAGCTGGTGATGCTCCGTGTTCCATTTCACTATACGCCCTGTCAAGGATTGAAAAGGAGACCAATCCAGATTCGGACGAGTATCTTTCGTATCTAAAATCGGCATATTCCCACTCCAAAAGCAACCCACTTGTCCTCAATGCGCTTTCGGAATATTTCTTTAAAAAGGAGGAATTTCAAAAGGTTACAGTAGCCCTTGATTTTTATAAAGTGTAGGCCGAGGCTCTTGCATTAAATGCAATTAATTTTGGATTTTCCGATAAAGGAAAGGCTCAAAGCTGCTATATTTTGGGCAAGATATATCATTGCCAAGCCAATTTTGACGATGCCTATGCATACTACTTTCAGACGACGAGATTTGATGCTGATTTTGTTGCTGCCCATTTTGGACTTGCACAGCTTTATTTCCAAAAGAAAGACTTTACATCGGCAATATCGGCGTTGGAGCTTTGTTTAGACCTTTGTCCAAATCAGCCAGCCTCTTTGAAATTGATATCTTTTCTCTATACGTCCAACCTAAAAGATAGGAAAAAGGCCATAAAGGCCATGAAATCCCTTCTTTCGATGGACCCAAACGACCTTGATACTATGCTACAATTGGCTTCACTTGTAGAGCAAAGTATTGCAGAAGATGCTGTTGCCTTGTACGAAAAATCTGTTTCCATTCTGAATTCGTCGATCGCACCTATCCCAATTGAGGTTTTAAACAATTTTGCTGTGCTGATTATGGAAAAAGACCCGCAAAAGGCTCTTTCTTTGCTGCAGGAGGCAAAGGGATCGCCAAGCTTAGAAGCCTCCGACCTGAGAATAGCATCTATCGAATATTCTATTGCTAGAGCATTGGAGATGCTCGGAAAATTTCAAGAAGCCATTGAGATATACAAGGCCTTGATTGCATCCAACTCTTCAAAGCAATTGTTGTCACACGTCAGACTTGGTTTGATTGCGATGGAGCTTTCTGACAAGGCATCATCGGACTACTTTAAAGATGCCATTGGTTTGAAAGAAGCTTGCAAAGAAGCTTGGGCAGGCCTTGCATTGCTCCATTTGCGGTCAAAGGCCGTCACGTTGGCAAGGAAAACCTTTGAGAGAATCCTATCGAAAATCGATAAACACGATCTATTTTCTTTGCTGTCTCTTGGAAACATCCATCTCATTATTGCTAAGCACGAGAAGCGCAACAGCCAAAATACCTGGGAGGCCTCTTTAGGCAGAGCAATAGAGTTTTTCCAAAAATGCCTAATGCTGGATAGCAACAATTACTTTGCAGTCAATGGGCTGGCAATAGCTATTTCTATGAAGGGACCCACTTTCCTTGCAGGATGCAAGGATGCCTTTCTCGCGATCAGACAAGAGGAACCGGGCTTCATTGATGCCTGGATCAACCTTGCCCACATTTATGTTGAGGAGCAGCATTTTGCCGCTGCCCAAGGTATCTACGAACATTGCTGGAAAAAGCTATCGACAGAGAAAATTGAATTTCAGGCTGCTGGTCGGCCTCTTGGCGACCGCGAAAAGATCATCTCTGATCTTATGCTATACATTGCAAAGAGCTTTTATCTAACCGGAAAGGCAGTCAAGGATGGAACCGCCTTCTTAAAATCCATAGAGTGGCTTCAAACCATAAACCCCAGCACGCAGGACGAAAAACTGATCTTATCGTTTAACGAAGCAATTGCCAGACAAGAATATTCGGCGTGTGTTCTTCAGAAGGACATTAACTCCCAATCTTTTGCCGACGTCAAGTGTGCACTTGACAACCTGGACAAGGCTGCTTTGATGTTGGAGCACTTGTGCATCAGCATTGGCGAAAAGCACTCGGCATCGCCGGCCACATCCTCGCTTCAGGTTGATACGAAAATCGCGCGACAGCGAATCAAATATTGCCATAGTTTGAAGGCATCTGCTCAGAAGCAATATGAGCAGCACTTGGACAAAGAACGGCAACGGAAAGAATCTGAGGAACAATACGCGAAGGCCATGGCTGAGGCGGAGTTGAAACGGGAAGAGGAAAGGCGATTGTTTGGAGAGGCAAAAAAGAAGGAGGAGCAACAGATTGAGGAGCTCCGTCGAGCAACTCGTGAGCGACTGGCAGAATGTCAAGCAAAATGGAAAATCGAGTCCCAAAACGAAGAGATTTGTATCAAAAAAAAGAAGAGCAAAAAGCGGCTTAGGGTTTCGCTTTCTGATGAAGAAGATTCCCAGCATGAAGCACAGAGCGACCATGAAGATCAAACCGGCCATCAGGAGGAGACAAATCAAATGGACATTCGTGGTCAAGCTCATCGAATAGGTAATGTTAGCAGTGAAAATCCCGTCGAAAGTAATGAGGATGATGAACAATCCCACACAAAAGACATGTCTATGCACACACAACACGGCCGAGATGCCCACAATTCGCTCTCCGAAATGGAGCAAGACTATAAGGCTACTGATGCCAAGCATGATGACAACCCGGCCATTGGCAATGACCTCGAAATGAGTATGCAATAAAATGCCTTTCAAGATCTCTCAAATGGCCCGTTTTGGACCTTTGGCGTTCCAAAAATTGGCAGCAGCCTGACGGCTCAAACAATACAAGTCCTTTATTTAATGAAAATTTTTCTCTTGCTGGGGATTATTTCTAAAGTTTTCAACTGCCGTGATAAAGTTTTTATCCAAGCTGTTCCACTCACTGATCGAGGTTTCCAGGGCCGATATCAATGCAGCTTGCGGGGTAAATTGCGGCGTCGTTTGGATCCTTATTTGGATGTTGTGTTCAAGCGGATGCGGGACCTTGTACGCTGCAAATAAGGTTGTCTTTTGCTTCTGCAAAACGCTTGTCAAAATCGTTCCAAGTGTATGGTCTTCACGATAAATCGTGTATGTCGTCGTATTGGGGAGGCGGGTGTCCTCCACAGCCTCGACCTTGGAATGACCCTCTGGAATGAAGAAGAGCTCATGGGGCTCTGGAGCATTCATTTTAAAATTAACTTAAATTTTAATAATTTATAGCCTCATCCTGAGGGCTTCTTTGCAGCTTTGACTGATTTGGCAATTTCTTTAAATCGCTCAATGACCTGCTTTTTGGTCTTGCTAGGAATAGCATCTGCAATAAGATCCCATCTGTTTTCGATGGAAACAGGATACTTTCTAAGACCCTCTTCGAGGAGTAGCTGCTCGGCCTTTGTCCAAGGCTGAACACTTTCATGGTCCTTGGACGAAGGCACGGAGGGCATATCAACTCGAGGGTCGATTTTTTTCTTTATCGAGAGCTGTAGTTCGTTATCATCGAGCTTATCAAGTGCAGATTTGCCCAGCTTTTGGATCTCCCTGCTTTTTTCGATGATTTCGTCATTCGAACGGGTATGAGAGACACCGGCATGTTCCCTCACATAAGAAGCAATTTTTTCCCATCGCAGTCTGGTTCCTCCTGGAATTGTATTACATGCTTTGATTAGGCATTGAATTTCCGAAGCGCTCCACTCGGTCTCTATTTTTCGATTTGAATTTGGCGCATCAGCAGATGCTGTAACAATGATGGGGCCCTGGCTTTCTTCTGTGCTTTCTTTTGTGTGTTTTTGCGCTGCCAAAGAAGGCGTGGTGCTCAATTCAAAGTTTTTGTAAAACGAGTCAACATTCCCGGTCTCCTGACATATCTGGATTTGCTTTGAAATAAATGCTGAAAAGACATCGAGTTCTTCAAGAGAGGAGAAGCTTTCAAGTTTGCATTGGATCATGGCAATGCGCTTTTCTAACAAATCCAAATCGGCCGAGGGTGTAAAGAATGAATGCTCCTTGAGTTTCGAGCGAATTTCTTTTCTTGATTGCCTAAGAACGGATCTTTCCAGCTCCTTTTGCTTTTTAATTTCCAACAACCTGGACTTTTCGGCCTCTTCGGCCAACCTTCTGCTTGCTATGTCATTTGCCGTATTTGAGGGCGAAGAAAGGGCGGCCTTTTTCGGTGCAAGGGACGATGCCTTGAGCTTCTTTTGTGCCTCTTTTTCTCGCTTATCCTCTTCTTTGAATATTTTCAAACGGGGATCACTTTGGAATGCATTGTCCACAAGGTTTCTAACGCGTGCATTGTCTTCGGTTTTCCTTTTCAGCCTTGCAGTCTTATTCTTCTTTTCCAAATATCTCTTGTCATATCTGTTATCAGCCTGGGAAGTATCCTCTTCATCCAAATATTCAAAGCTTCTTGTGGAATCAAAGTTATACCAAAACGTGTAAAAGGCCTCAACGTCCTTTCGAGCGGAATATGGATTTCCCAGAAATGGGACCGGTTTTATCTTTGAAAACTTTGCATTTGCATTGAACACGGGAATAAAGATCTTGTAAAAAGCCAATGGGTCGGACTCGTACTTCTTCTTCGATATCGGGTCTGGAATCGATTCGTCAAATTTGGGATCAACCGAGTCGAAAGCATGGCGCTGCTGGGGATCTGTCAGGATTTCATATGCCTTTTGGATGCATTTGAAAATATTGCAGTTCGTCTCATACTTGGAGGCATTTTCTCCCTGCTGTTGCTGCTGTTTGTCTGGGTGGTAGCGAAGAACCATCTTGTGATATGCGGCTTTGATTTCGGCGCCAGTGGCCTCTTCACGCCTATCTGATAGTCCCAATAAGCGATAATGATCCTGCTCTTTCCACTTTAACGGATCTAGCTTCAATAGATACATGTCATCAATTAGGGAGTTCATTTCGGAATCACTGTTGACACAACCCTTGATTGGAATGTGCTGTGTACATTCATTTTGTAAAGCGCTAAAAATGCTTCGCCGAAACACTATAAGGTCCTTGCACGGATTCAAAAATGCATCCTCAGGGGTAAAAGTTGATATCCTCATGAAAATAAAAAAGTGCAAATGTTAAATTTAAATTTATGGATCTTCAGGCCAACAATCAAAAGGGTAATGTTTCTTTGTTAATGCAATGTAGAATCAACAACAAACATTACACATGCAGATCTGGATCGTCGCTTTTACATGCAGGCAGAAAAAATACCCGAAATCCCGTTTCTACCTACAGACAAAGTGGCGTCTAATCACGCTTCAATCCCAATATGTCCCGAAATTTGCGAGTCCAATCAAGAGGGCTCTAAAAACAACAACAACAACAGCAGCAACAAGAACAGCAGCAACAGCAACAACGAAACCACTTCCAAAACAAAGGATAGCATTCTCGAGCTATTTACTAAGCAATCAGATTCGCATCTAGAATTCATTCGCATGAAGAGAGAATCGATTTTGAGAAAACTCGGTCAGCAATCAACAATCGTTCCCGCCTGGTCTGGAAGGCTGGTCTTCCCAGGTGTCTCTTGGTGTGATACTAGTGCTATCTTTCATTCTGTCTTGGGCCCTGTCGCGATGGGACCTGAATTAGGGCGTTTCTCTCACTTTAATTTGCCCCCCGACTTGTTAATAGTGGGGCGGATTCCCATAGAATCGGTTTTTTCCTATCTTAGGCAGGTTTCTAGAAGCCCTTCTCGTTCGATCGGGTTCGCCCAGTTTATTGGAGAATATTCTAAACAACCAATCCAATTGCCCTCCACTCCAAGTGTCGAGGTCGAAACACCTCATCACAGTTCATTACATGAGCTGATTTCTCACCTACAAAAAGCTAATCGATTTGGTGTCATTTATTCGGGACTTAATCCGCCCTCCTCGTTTGCTCGGGCAGAAAATCTTATCGACAAAAAAACTGGCCTTTCATCTTATCACGGGTGGTATATAAAAGACCTTTATGTCATGCCATATGAAGACGAAAAGGTGCTATCGGAACCATTGACTGATTTGGATACCGATCACATATTAATGGATGCAATAAATGTAAATCAAGAACCCTCGCATCTGTTTAAAGTAGATGAAGAAGCTTTTCAGAAAGGAAAAAATCTTCTTTTTCTTTTATTTGTATTCGCCAGGATGCCTGCAGCCTCGCCACTAACCACCGACATCGGTTACAAGTCCTCATCAGGCTCATTTAAATATAAAAGATTAACATGAAATAAACATATGTGTATTTAAAATTTTAAAAACTGATCAGAGCGAGGTTCGAACTCGCGCCCCCGAAGAGATGGCGGCCTTAACGCCACGCCTTAGACCACTCGGCCATCTGACCACAAATCAGCTTCGAGTTTATAATATAATGTTATCTATTATTCCACAACAAATTCTAACTTTAACATTAAAATCGATCATCCTTTAAATTGAAAATTTAAATAAGAATTTCCATTTCTAAAGGTAGATTCCGCTCCTCATATCGATAACTTTGCCTATTTTAATCTATTGTTTCTTTCTGATATTTTAGATGCTTATCCCTACGCCGAATCGCAAATTAATCCACCAATATCTTTTCAAGGAGGGAGTCATCGTTGTCAAGAAGGATTATCATCTTCCTCAACATCAGGAAATCCCTGTTCCCAATCTCCAGGTTGCAAAGGCGCTTCAGTCCCTACATTCCAGAGACTATGTCTCCCTCACATTCTCGTGGAAATACTACTACTATATCCTTACTGAAAAGGGTATTGAGCACCTCCGTCGAGAACTCAACTTGCCGACATCTGTTGTCCCAGCAACTGTTGCTAAAGCACTCAAGACACCAACGACGCTGGAAGAGCGTCCTTTTGGTCGTCGCTCTGGTCGTGATGAAGAGAAAAAGAAAGAAGCTGGAGCTTCCTCTGAATTCAAACCGCAATTTGTAAGTTGTTTCTATTCATCATTTTCTAGAGAGGAGCCGCTCGCCAGGCCCGCCAATAAATTTCTTTTGGTTAATAAATAATTTAACCACAAAGTTCGTTTCCGAAAAATAGTCGCTCCAAAGGCCAACTGTGAACCAACAACCGACAAATATCTCGCAGATTAGGTTGGTGGTATTGGAAAGATTATTTTTTGTCCCTTTAGCCAAATTAAGTTATCTGTTTGGACCTCTTGGTTTCTGATGTCGTTTGGCACAATTTTTTAGGGGTAGACTAATTATGTGTGGGTGGCTAAATTTCGATCTCTTATGAATAGTAATTCCTAGAAGCTCTTGGACTTTTACTGAAATGTTAATTGCTAATGGCTAATCGCTAATGGGTGAACCATACCAAATGACTGAACGATACCAAATGGGTGAACCACACTAAATGAGTTGCGAAAATCTTTTAGGCTGTCATATGCTACATAATCCTATGTTATATACGGGCCATAAAAGTATATCGAAAGTAGACACTAACCTATTAAGGATCTTTCTCCCTAATCATGGTCGCTTTAAAATGAGAGCATTGGCAAATTTTAACTTGTTGATCCAGAGCTGATTTGCAGTGTGTTGTGAATTGAATCAGGCGGCTTATTTTTGATGCTACTTCAGCTTGGTGTATGTGCAGTTTTTCTATCCGTAATTGAGTATTTCTGGTTCAAATACAGATCGCTCGTTGACACGTACCATGAAAACGTAGCCTTAAAGGTACTGCTTTGGGGGTATTTTCTAGCATTGTTATATTACCGGCGGATCGAATGGATTGGGACTAGCTATTGCCATGGAGCTTTCAAAAAGGGGGGCTCACATTACGATCGTTGCGAGAGATTCTCAAAAGTTATCGGAGGCTATTGATACCATTAAGGTAATCCATAACATGCATCCATATCTCCAGAATGTGGCGAAATATCCAGACGCTCAAAAGTTTTCTTTCATTAGTGCAAATGTGACCGATGCCAAAGCGGGTCAAGTTGCTTTTGAAAGTGCAAATTCATCGCCCGAAATTGGCCCTGTTGATTGGGTCTTCACCTGTGCAGGGGCTGCGATCCCTGGATTTTTCAAAGACCAAATAGCCAATGATTTTGAAAGGGGAATAGCGTTGAATTACCTCGGAACGCTTTATACCTTAAAGGTTGCTATATAAGGTCTTCACACCCATCTTTAGGCCGCTGTAAAGTGCTGGAAGGGAGCTAATGGCCATATTTCGAAAAAGAAAATTGTAATTATCAGCTCCACTCTGGCATTAACTGGGCTTGTTGGCTATTCCCAATATGTCCCATCCAAGTATGCTACCAAAGGTATCAAATGCTATTCACGGGGCTTTTCTGTCTTTTCATTTTGTTTTTCCGTTTTAAATTTTAGGTCTTGCAGAAGTGCTACGGCAAGAGCTAGCTCAAGATGGCGTTGAAGTGCACATCTATTTTGTATCTACTATTTTGAGCCCAGGATATGCGCAAGAACAGCTAACAAAGCCCGAAATAACAAAGGCAATTGAGGGATCAACTACGGGGGAGGAAGATGCTTCTCCCGAGAACAGGGCAAAAACGCTGCTACATGGCATAATCAATGAAAACAGGTTTATGATTGCTTCAGATTGGAGCACGTACGCTCTCATGCTTGCCTCTGCAGGAACTGCTCCCCGTCGGCTTTTTGGAGAACTGATCTTTGTGTCTCCTGTAGCCATGCTCTTTGTAGCCACCTGGCGCTATTATTGCGACTGGCTAATAACTCGAGCGTAGAATTTTGTTATCACGTAATAAGAAGCAATTTGAGAGCAATAGCATCGACATAAACGGATTTTATTCGTGCAGCATCCTGAGCTCAATGTTTGCCTCCTTTAGACACGACTTTACAAAGTCATCCATATAATAAGATTCAAAATACACCACCTCCGATATTCCGGCCTGAATGATCTTTTTCGTGCAGTAAATACATGGGCATGATGTGCAGTACAATGTCACGCCCTGATCATCGGCATTTAGCGCCGATGTCGTGTAAAGGGAAATTCTCTCTCTTCCAGCTTCAAAGATTGCATTTTCCTCGGCATGTAAACACAGGCAAGTGGAAAGAGCGGCGCCGCTTCCGGTGTTTTCGTTGCACCGTTTGCACCCACCTTCAGAGCAATTCCGGACTCCAGCCGGTGTTCCGTTGTATCCCGTTGAGATGATTCGATGAGACTTTCTTGAAACTAGAATAGCACCAACCCGTCGTTTCATGCAGTTAGATCGTTGCCCAACCAATTTTGCTATTTTCATAAAATAAGCATCCCACGAAGGCCGGGTATTTTTCCTCAGCCTGGATATGGATGATTCAAGCGCATCAAGTAAAACATCATCATTGGCTGGTGTAAGCGATTTGTCCATGCTAATAACCTGGTTGCAATAGCTAAATGTGTCGAATGCAAGATCTTCGCTTTCGATTTTTTCGGCTAGCTCAAAAGCCGTTGAATGGTCGAGCTCTGCGCTGGCGGATAACCTTACCAGATCAAGAAGAGACTGCACCTTGCCTTGAGTCAGAAAGCTTAAGAAATATCCGGGAGATACCTTGACACCTAGGCTGCAGTAAAACGGCCTTGTGGAAAAAGCGCCATATTCCACCTTTATATTTGAAAGATCATGAATAAAAACAAAGTTCTCGTGATAATTAACCGTTACAAAATTTAAGGCTTGTTGGAGAGAAAAAAATCGGGGTTTATTGCTCTCGCTTTTGGAGATAGATAGGGCATCAAGTTCGCTGTTGAAAATCTCCCCAGACTCCTGTGCGACTATTTTAATGGGCGTAAAGCCAAAGTGAGAACTTAGGAGCGATGCGATGCGTTGATTTCCAAATGTACAAGAACCAACAATGCCAACCAACATTACGAACTTTTTTAAATTAATTAAATTAACCGCATTAAGGGCTAAAGCGTCTGGTGTGCCATGTATTTCTGTTGCCTGCAAATGGCTTGTCATGTTCAGAGATGACATTTTCCCGATGTCTGGAAATGGTTTAGTGAAAAAGTAAAAGGCCAATAAAAGCAGTAGAAAGTGTAAATTCTTGAGCGTTCATTCAAGTGGGAATTTTGTTCGAAAATAAGCTGTCATGCTGGATTATTTTGCACGTGAAAGTCTTTGTCCAATCGAATGCTGTATTGAATGATTATACATGTGACCAAAAAATATACATATACCCGATTATTTGGCGTTCTTTCTTGCATGACTTATCGGCAGGACGATTAATTGTATCCAAAATGGTCAAAACCGGAACTAGCAATCTAACGCTAAGCACACCTCCTTTCCGAGCTGAAATATGGCGTAGGTCCGATGGCATTCAATATGTATTCAGGGCTAGTGAAGGGACCATAAATGAGTTGCGATTTTGGATTGATTGCTTCAAAGCTATTTTGGGTTGATTGCGAAATATGACGATTTCCTAATTTTGTTCTTTGGCCATCATTTGGCCTTTATAAAACCAATTGCAGATTGAAAATAATTTTATTTCAATTAATATGGCAAATAATGAGCTATATTGCGAGATTTGCCAAGTTCAATCTACCAACCTATCGGCACACTATGATCACATCCATAGTAGGCGGCATCAGAAAGCAACCGGAATTGTCCACAAAATAGAGCGATCTACCCTTGCGCAGGTGCTTGCCAAACTTGAGGAATTGAAGCAAGAGCATCTCGAAATTATGAGTGGAAATAATGGAGAGCCTGCTCACCAACACATATCGTTTACCGAAAGACTTGAACAAGAATCCAAGAACCGCCGAGAAGAACGGAAGCGGAAAAAAATGACAATTAAAGAGGATCCTGTCTTGGAACACGTAGAGCCTGGGATGCTTGATAGCGGTTTTGATTTCGGCTCGTTTTCAAGTAGCAAGCGCAATTGATGTCACAAAATGCCACACCCCATGTGCATTTATACGGTCTGCGTTGCGAGAAAATCATGGGCTTGAGACACTTAAATATGGAATGCTAAGGGCGCGCGTATCGGCGGGTTCTTTGAATTAATTACATTATACATTTTATACAAATCAATAAAAATAAATACCCTTAATTGGATGGCCGCTTAACTGAAGATGAAGAGGATGAAGAAGAGCCGGATTCGAATCCATCATTAGGCACATGTTTCGGAGGTACAGGCCCCCCTATTGAGGAATAATTATTAAAAATATGCTGTTGGGAAAATTGGGGCAAGTAATATGGCACAGGTGTTGTCGACTGTGGCGCAAAACCATATGGATGGAACTGTTGGGGGTGCGACATTTGCGGGGGTGACACATTGGATTGCATCTGATGAATTCCCTTTGGGACAAAGCCGTGAGAATACCCTTGGAAATTAGATGGTATCATATATCCTTGAGGCGCAGCAGAAACAGGTGGCCCATAAAAGGCATGCTGAGCAAACCCAGCCATCGGCACAGACGTGTGATATGGCATTGTCGGTTTTTGCGCATATGAATGCCCTCCACCAGCACTTGGCGCGATATATTGTGTAGGGCTAGGGTGGAACGAGGATTGGGCATGAGAATAGCTTGAATGTTTGGCCTGCGGTAACACAGCGGCAGAGGCAATGGCCCCTGGTTTTGCCCCGATCTTGGAATTGGCCATACGGCGAGACTCAAAAATACATTTCAAGTTTAAAAATGTGGAATAGTTGTATTCTGAATCATCGGATCTTGTGATCTTATTGGTAGCCCGGTCCAATATTTTGAACACATTTTCGGGTATGAAAGAATGTGGCGTTTGAAATTGATTTACATTGGATAGCAATAAGTGGTAAGGAATCAGTCTATTGATGGCGTCGTCATAGGATGCAAACGGGGTGTGGATGTCAGGATTCATGATAATCTCGACATGCGATTTGAAATACGAGTCGATCCTAGAACAAATATTACATGGATATAAGATACTTTGAGCAAACTAGCTTCATCCTATTGATGTCTGTCATTTGTGTTGAAGGCGTCTAGGGGAAATGTCGACATCAATGCGTACCTTGGGCAGTGCCTGCTGTGGAAAATATGCAGATCGCTCCTGCGGGGCATCCTTAACACCCAGGCCCCTTTGTGCTGGTAAATTTGCCTGGATCGATGGCTACGATAAATATTGTCATGCAACGTACGCTAAATTCGGTCTGGGCGATTGCTCTCTTTTTGGACGCAAAGCCACCAATCCCATGGATATTCATATCATCTGCAACGTGATTTGGCCGATTTGTACAGCCCGGAGCGCTAGCTGGCTGCAATGGGCCTTCACCAGCACCCCTTGGGGCGGTGCTATTCCCTGAAAATTTTGCACCATCACCAGATGGTGACGATGAGGACAAATACAGTGGGCAAATGGCATTGCTAGCACTAGAGTCAGATGCATTTTTATTTAGCGATGCATGAGTTTGATTTGTAAAAGGTGTTAAGGATGGTGTTGATGTAAAGTTGTCCCTCAAAGGCATGATATTCGATCCCGCAATTGACTTTCCAGAGAAACGATTGGTCAATGGTAAATCAATAGGCAACTTGTAGATTTAGATTTAATCAAACAACGATCAAATGGTGACTTTAAATTTTACGATTGCATCTTTTCATAATGAAAACAGCCACGGCCAAAATGAAAACGGCCATGGCCCTGGCCAAGCCTGGACCCTTTGGCCAATGTGCACAGCGCTGGATTTCCGCATTTGCCTGTTCAAATACTATAGCCATACAAAAGATCCCATTGGAGGATCACAACAGACAATCTCCACTCACCAAAGATGGAATAAAGGAGATGTGGGAGCACTCGAAGATGTACCTGGCCACGCAATTAAAGTACTACCCATTTCAAGTAATCGTAGGCTCCGATATGTAAAGAAAACACTCAAAAACTTTGATGTTCCCCAATTTTTGAAGCATTGTGAAAAGCTGTATCTTGATCTGAATGAGCAGCTATCTCGGTTTTCTCGCTCAATAGAGTAACTCTTTAGATCGCAATATGAAAACACCCGGTGCTATGTGACGCCAAGCTTTTTCTCTCTCATAAAGAGCGATTATAAGAAAGGTCCAAAGTATGTTTTTTACTGGAAGTTTGGCGGGTTTACCTGCCAATCGAGAATCGTAGCATTGGCGCCTCTCGAAATTCCAAACACTCCAAGCCCGGTAAATTACTTTCAAATTGCAGTTAGGTTTGAAAGTCGCCAGGTATAACACGTGCCAGCGGCAGTTTCTTACCATATTAGGGGATAGGCTCGATTCCTCAACCTCCTGCAGAAATAGTGCATATGGTCAATCCAAAAGAGTCTTTTTATAGTCTTTTCAGCGATGACTCTTCAATCAAAATGGAAAGCGTGGTCGAGTATTACGTTTTTGAGAAAAGTCAGGATGACCCCTATCATAATTGGAGGATTGCAGGAAAGATAGAGCCAGCCGCAAGCGCATAGTTAACATCCCATTTTATGCTATTTATTTATTCTTAAATAAAGAAAAATCCCAGTCATTTAGTCCCTGTTTTTTATGCTCAATCACCAGCTGCTTATAGCGGGCATAGCAATTCAAACAAATGTGGTGCATTCTCATTGGTTGGTTACAAATCTTACATTGGATTATATTTTTGACCGGCTTCAGCCACTGAAATTTGATGCGCTTCCTTCTACGCGATAAAGGGACCCTTTTTTTGGGCACAGCAAACAACATTTGATCCTTTAGCAACGTCCATAGACGCTTGAATTTGTCAAAAATCGAAGGAAGGACATCAAAAGTGGTTGGAGGTATCGGCCTCACAATGGAATGCCTATTTAAATCCATTGGTAGCGCATCGGAAAATTTAAACAATGAAGGACCCCCGCTGCAAATCAATGCCAAGGGATTAAAGGCCAGAGCTATTGGGAATTTTAAAGACAACGACATTCGCAAATAAATTTAATTTTCACTTGCCACTTTGCTAACCTTCCAATACCGGTATATTGCATCACTTGCTCCAATTAAACATTGCTTTGCAAATCGATACTGCATCGAATATTGCTTCATGTTTTCGTAGGAAACTCCAATTTGCTCCATGGAAAGGTCTGCCGCTTTTGATGCGAGAATTTCGGCTGCCTTTGTCGTTTTCAGAAACAATTCGAAAACAGCGCTCGAGCAAAACTGCGATCTATTGTTGACTGGTTGATGATTGGCAATTTACCTAGACTTTGATAGGTTTTTTGAAGGGTTTGCTCCCTGTTTAAACCCATCCGTGATGATGTCGTAGTTTTCACCGGCGCACCAGATGATCGCGGTGGGCGAAGCCTTCCTTTTGCCCGTATATACAAACGCGGGATACAAAGCCAAAGACAGCCTTTCAGAGACGTAACATATGATTTTGGGAAATTTTGGTTCCATGCGAGCATTATCACAGTCCACTCGGCACAAAGAGTCTTTAACAATCTTTTCTGATAGCTTGGGATTATCATTGTTATTGCAAACGATACAAATAATGTCATACATCATGGCTTCGTTAAATATGAGCGACAAAATGGATCCTTGAATCCCTACATAGTATAGGAACGGTACATACCAACGTAAAACGACAATGATAGCTTATCGCTACATGACATTGACTCTGTTTGGATCGAGTCGCCCCTGGCGGGCTTTCTTTTCAATTCGGTCGATAGATGCCCATTTTTGTGTGCAGCCTGGACATTTAGAACCGCCGCTCCACCTAAGAGTAGAAATTCAAAGCCTACAGGGGATGTGGGATATGAAGAGTGCAATTTTATATTCCTTTTTCCAAGAAAAAAGGCTTGTGTCGCCATTTTGGGAAACATATTCCGATGCTTGCGGGTCTTTTTCGCAAATTTGGACCTGCTTGATTAAGAACCTAGCGTGTAAAACAAACGAAATACAATTTAAAGGCTCTTTTGACAAGAATTTCTGCATGCGAGTCATGGATACGATGATGAAACGTACAAAGTTCAACCTGCTTGTTTTTTGGTCCATATTTTACTTTGGCATGCAGCTGTTTTTGATTGAGACACTTTGTCCCCGTCGCAAAAGACACAAGCCTCCAATCGACAATGTCACCATCGCTCTCATTGAGCATGTCCGACCTTCCCACGAGGATCCCGGCAAAGACTGAAAATTCGTCTCCGTTGATCTAACCCTAAGATTAGCACCTGGGCTCCTACATTGGGCTTTCCCCTGTTCGGGAGACCATCGTAAAAGTCAAGACAAACACTTTCAAAGATGTTGGCATATTTTGTATTTTGCGCCATGCAATTAGGAATATTAATTTTTTATTGGCCATGCTGCTGGATACCGAGTTTAAAGAATTGGATGCATTGCTAATGAATGTGGACCTCCCGGTTGAAAGCAATGGCGAAGCAACACAGAAGCCTGAAAGTATAAAGCACAGGGGCCCAAAAAAAGAGCCTCCGCATGCGGTGGTTGAAAGGTTAAACACGTTTTTTGAATCGATGTCGGAAAGTAACGATTTTGCATTTAATTGCTACGAGCCGTAGAAATGACAAAAGAAAGATGTCAGCTAAAAAAGCTAGAGGCCAAAATAATCGAACTGGAGGTATCACAAGCAAAATTAGACGTGATGGTTAACAACACAAAAAGTAATTGGACAGTGTTAACAAATAGCTAGGATGCATAACAGGCTCCTTAATTTGATGGTGGCCAAAAAACCTAGGCCTGAATATGAAAGCGATTGCATTGAATTAAAATCTTAAAAGTTTAAAAAACCAAAATGCAAAACTGTAATTTTCCAGGCTAATGAGTTTCCCTCACACATCGACATCGCCTTGGCTCAGTTCAAAGGTTGTCATATCAACTGCAGCGTTTGTTGGCATCCTTGCTGGCGGATATTTTTATTATAAAAAACACCACCCTTCCAAGTGTGACCAGCCATCTAGCAGCTCGTCTCGGTGTACCTTATTCGCCTGTGAAACGTTGACAGATTGCCTTAATGCAGCCTCGGTCAAGGTGAGTTCTTTGTTTAAACCGGGACAAAGAGAAGCAGTCCAGTGTGCATCATTGCATGAAACAGGTTCGCAAAAGTGCGATCTTGCCTTTGCAAAGGAGAAAAAGGTTTTGGGAAACAAATTCTTCTCGGAAGGGAAAATGGCCGAGGCCATCGACTGCTACTCGGAATCGATTTCGAATCTTCCAGATGGTTCCTATGAACTTTCTATATGCTACTGCAATAGAGCTGCATGCTATCTTTCACAGGGAAATTACCAAAAAGTCGTCGAGGACTGCACTGTGGCAATTAGATGTTCTCCCCTCTATTTAAAAGCTTACGAAAGACGTTCTCGTGCATATGAATCACTTGGTCAATTGGAAGATGCCTTGAGCGACCTTACAGCTTGCTGCGTGATCGATGGGTTTTCAAATCAATCTTTCCCACAGCGGCTGGAAAAGATCCTTCGCTCGCTATCGCACACCCTTGCAACTGAGTTGAGTCAAGTAAGTGATCCTTTCTAATGCCTTTAGAATAAAGCCCGCTCATTTCCCTCCAAATATGCGATTGATGAATTTTTCAAGGGGCTTCCCAGATGTATTTTTTCGCCTTTTATTTTAGTTGCGCCAGAAAAGAAAGATGCCGATTCATTGGTCGGATCTCTTAACCGAGCGAAGAAAATGATATCCGATGGCTGCTGTGTGGAGGCCTTCACTTTACTGACCGAAATTTCGGCATCCAAAGCCGCCGTTTCACCGGAAATGTGTGATGAAATCTCGTTTTATCTTTCGGCTTTACTTTTCCTAAAAGGATGTTTAGATGAGTCTCTTTTTTACTACAACAAAATATCTACCGATCGCCTTCCAATTGCGCATGTCATTAGATCGTCAATATTGCTTGAGCGCTCTCTGCTAGTCGAGGGCAAGGAGGAAATAGAAAAGGCAATTGCTACTGCAGCAATTGCAGGTGCCAACCCTTCAAACCAGACCCTTGCTTATCTTTACTACCATCTTGGTGAATGCGACGCAGCCCTTGGGAATGCACTGGCCTCCATTGCCGCATACAACAAAGCGATCAAAATAGCTCCGGGTGTTATCCAATTTTACATCCATAAATCACGCGCTTCAATCGCGACAGGAAACATCACGGATGCCGAAAGTGCCATTCAAGAGGCTCTTTCTAGATTTCCAGGAAACCCTGAAGTTTTGAATGCATATGGCGAGTTTTTAATTCTCAAGGCAACCTCTTCATCTCCCATGGAAATGCCAAACAATGCAAACATATTTGACGTTGCACAAAAGACGCTCACCGATGCGCTTTCGGTGTGTGCTGCACAAGGAAAAGAACCTATGCCATCGATTTTCTTAAACCTTGCAATATTGACGCTATACATTTCCAATGGCAATGCTGCTCCCTCTTCGGCAAATTCTGAGAACGAGCTTAAGGAACTTCGCCAGCAAGCCGTAGCTTTTCTTAGAAGGGCGATTGAAATCGACCCGCTTTATGATGCCGCTCATATCCAACTTGCCCATATTCTGATAGCAAACGGCGAAAATTCCGAAGCAATCGAGCACTTTGACAAGGCAATTGAATCGTGCAGATCATACCAAGACATTGCTCAAATACTTTCTCTGAAGCTGGCCAGTAAGGCCCAAATGCAAGCGTGCGCCGGAAATCCGGATCTCGAAGCGAAAATCAGGTAGTTGTTTTGGCTTTAACAAATAGATCGCTTATGGGGGCCGGAGGCGGCATGGCAATGTGAGTCAAGATACAATAACATTAAGAACAATAAACAATAACCCTAACAACAATCGCAATAACCCTAACAGCAATAAGGGGGTTAGGGTTATTTGATTAACTCCATTTTTGGTGCTTTTTCATTGACCACACACGAATTGGAGAAACATGACATGCCGATATCCTTTTATAAAATTTACTGCTGCTTGCAATTCTGATTTGCAGACTGGTGCGAGCGGGCTCCACCGATACGGCGCGAATACAGCCGCTCTTCATCGTCGTCGTCCTCAGCAGCGTCAGAAAGATTATCATCGCCCTCCTCGTTGTAGTCGCTCATATCTTCTTCATCGTCGAATGGAGCCGTCTCGTCATCGGCAATACCCAAATACCAGTTGACGGCATCCGGAATGATCTTGCTGCGAATAACGTCACCGATCTCAAGATGGATGGCAACTTCGTCGCTAACCTCGCCGTCATCATCCTCATCATCAGACGTAGCTTCGTCCTTATCGCCGCCCTTTGAGGAGATTTTGCAAGGCGCATCAAAAAACAAGAAAAAGGAATTTACTCGCTCCTCTCTTTCAACTACACGCGTAATGTTCTTTGTCTTATGGCGCTGGGTTCTTTTGACCATCTTCACGGTAAGGTTTGATCCAGGCAACCAATCAATGGTGGTGCCTTCCATTCGATCAAATCTATAAAGCTCCTCGTGATTACTAGAAGAGTCAGCATCACACGCAGAATCGCAACAGGAATCTTTCTCGTCGTCATCGCAGCATTTTGTGAAATAGAAGGTCTTCGTCAAAATGGCGTTGGTGAAAAATGTATTTTTGTTGAAGAAAAATTCAAGTTTAAACGAGTGGTTATCTTCCAAACGAGTGTATTGGATATCGTTAAGGAAAGAAAGAGCGGGCTCGTCTGTGTCCGTAATCATCTCACTGACCATATAGTTATTTTTAAGCGCGGTAAGCCAAAAGGAGGATACACCCTAAAAATTACATGTTGCAAATACCTCTTCACATGCGGAGCCCTTGACAATGGTGGCACGCTCTTCATATAGGGGCGCAAATTTGGCCTCATATTCGACTTCAAGCTCAAGAACCTTCTTATTAAATTCGGCCTGCAGGACATTATGCTTGTCCTGCACCGTAAGTAGGCTTTTAACTTGGGGGCGAAGATTGGAAGGGACCTCCTTCATGCCCATTTCCTCCAAGCTCTAGGAGGAGATGAAAGGGAAACACATACTTCAAGGGTAGTGGCGTGTGTCATTAAATTAGTTAAAATGCTGCAATGCGATTTTGAATTAAATTTTTTTTAAAATTTTCCAAATGCCACCGAAAAATGTTAATTCCGCCTCCCCTTTGCCATGGGAAGTTGAAGAGGATCTTACGGCCACCATCCGCCACATTAACAACTCGATATCGCTTCTTGTTGATATATCGAAACAATATACATCGTCTCCAAATGATATCGGCTCATTAATTGGAGAAATGTAAGCTTAAGATCTAAATCCTGAATTTAGGAATGCCTACACCTCGCTGTTAACGGAGATGCACAGGAATATCCAGGACTCTTCACTCGAGTTTCCGGAAGCAGAGATTCCTGGCTTTATTATTCAAGCATTGGAAGAATCTGTAAACCTGGATATCCCCTCCTATAATGTCTCCAGAGACCTCATGCTTCAGTTGGAGCAATTTGAGGCAAAAGTATCGACCTTCCATCGGTATGGGCAATTGCTGCAAAGTCATGTAAATAACAATAAAAGATCCAACTAAAAAATCTACTTTTATTCCCGTCCATATGTCGAGTGGGGATACAAGTCATCCCATGTGGTCCTATCTCGAAAACGAGCACTTTTTGATGGTCGCATGGTAAATGCAGAATTTCCATCTTGCCTTGAAGGAGAATTTCTATCCTTTTCCCTAGAGGAATACTTATCGGTCGCACTATTCCTCATATCCAAATTCCGGTCAGACTCATTTTTGGACCACCTCCTGGAAGATTTGCCATGATCTTGGCCCCTGTTGCGATAGCTCATATCACGATGCTCTTGGTCCCTGTTGCGATAGCTTGCATCACGATTCCCTCGGTCCCTGTTGTGATAGCTCGCATCACGATGCTCTTGGTCCCTGTTGCGATAGCTAGTATGACGATTCTGTTCTTTTTCGGAATAATATCTACTAGGATCCTTTTGCCTCGAAGATGAAGATGTTTCCCAGGCGGTCCTGCTAGATTTATGGGGCTCTCGGGATTCGTTTGTAGATATCCTTATTTCTGGACTGAGCGATCTTTCAAATCCTGAACGTCTTGAAGTCGGATTTTCTTGCTCTTTGGTGCTTTTCCCTTGATTCTCAAACAAACCAAGCGTCGAGTTAATAAGCGACGGTGGTAAATTAGATGTAGATGTCAATGGGTTTCCAAATCCATACAGTAGCGCACTTGCCATCATTACCTTTTCCTTCTCTCGTAAAAGTTGTTGCTCTTCTTTGACGCAAGATGCAGAAGAGGAAAGGGACGCCTTAATGGGCATGTCTGTACGCTCCTCTTTAGGCTTCTGAAACCAGCCCACATCTTTTCCGACCTGCCATCTGCCAACGGGCGCCTTGATTGAATTGCCCAAGTAGCAAATGCGATTTCGATCTTCCTTTACGGTTTCCCATGAAAATTGGTCATACCCCCCGCGAGACCCTCCTCTTGCTTCTTCCTGCATGGTTTTAAAAAAATTAAATTAATAATTTATTTGGAAGCTACAATAGAAAATCAATTTATCGAGGGGATCCATTGATGGTCCTTCTTGGACTTCCATGCCTTGAGGATTTTCTTTGTGTTGCTGATTTTATCGCTTTTTTTTGAAATCGCATTTGATCGGTTGGAATCGGATCTTTTTTCTACCACCGGATTAAGGACGATTCCCTCCATCGGGCTCTCGCGGACCAATGAGGATGTTTTAGAGAGAGATAGAAGATTGCTGGATAGCTTTTTCAATCGGGCATCATGTACGGCATTCATAATGTTCTTTCTGAGCTCCCTCTTATTTTGTTGCATCTGCTTTGATCTCAACCCCTTGGCCATGATAAGATGATGGAATATAAACAAAATATTTTTTTTCTAATTTACGGCTAGGGTTAGGGTGTTTTAATTTACGGTTAATTTTATTAATTAAGATAAATTTGCTTCACATCAGAGGTACCAAAGGGCTCAGTGCAGATGGGACACTTTCTTTGTCTGGTCTCAATACGTGCATCGATGCACTCTTTACACAGGACATGCATACAGCGACAAAGAACATGTGTCCTTTCCCTACGTAGACATATTGGGCACTTTACAAGATCCTAATGGATATATATATTCCGCTAGTTGATACCTGATAATACTTGAGCTCATCCAAGAGCTTTGCATCCTCGGAAATTATATTTGTATGTCCCTTTGACATAAAAATATCAAATCTTTTACGCAAGGACTGATATTCTTCCTCCATTCTAGCTTTTTCTCCGGAAAATCTTTTTGAAACCGTTTTGGCCTCAACGAGCTCGTTACGCATCTAAAATAAACGTCGCCAACCCACACACCATACCTCATCTAAAGATCTTGCTGCTTGATCAAATTTTGCTTGGATTTCCGCTTGCTGTCGTGAACATTCGCTCAATTTTCGCTTGTAGTAATCCGACATATTCTGCTTTTGGGATAGATCTTTTTCCACATTTGCCAGCTTTGTTGAGAGGGACCAAACTTTCTCCTTTAAGCCGCTTAGTTGCCCTGCCGTTGAGAGCTCCCAATTGTTTAGCTCTGGCGGCCTAGCAACATTGGCCAACTCGCGCTCTTTTTCTTTAAACAGAGCATCAAGCTTGCTTTTCTCTGCATGGAGCCTCACAATTACTTCCTCCTTTGTGGATAATTGCTTTAAAAGATTCTCATTATTTTCGATGGCATCATTAAAAGCCTCTGCTGTCGCTTCTAGCTCTTGAGCAAGAAGGGCCTCATCTGGCGATAAATTTCCAGCCAAGCTTGCACAGGAAGAGATTCGTTTCTAGTGTAAATGTTTGCACGAAACGGCACTTACCTTTAAAATTTGGATTGTATTTTCAAGATCTTGGTTGATTTGGGACACTGAGGTGAATTTCTTGTGCAAATCGTCTTGAGCAACGTAGGAAGAATCTCTTTCCGAAATGGCGTCTTTCAAACGGGCAAGAAGAGATCTTCGTTCGTCTTCAAAGCCCTGCTCCATATTACGCAAGGACTCGTTATTGAGGGAAATCTCGTCCCTAATTTTAGCGTGCAACCCATCGGACTCGCGAACGAGCCTTTCAACTTGGGCCTTGAGGAGATCCTTTTCCCCCTTCATAAGTTCAAATTGATGTGAATAGTTTAAAAGCGGATTGAGATCAGAAGGCAAACCCTCATGCTACAGGTTAGAAGCGATCAAGAGACATTACCTTGTGTCTATATTCATCGTATTCTGCTTTGAATCGTAAAAGATCTGCAGTTAGAGACTGTAATTCTTTGTCTCGAGAGGAAATTGAATTCTTCAGTGCATCAATCTCTGCCTGAAGAAGGGATATTTGAACCTCCTGCTTTTCAACAAGCTTCGAGTTTTCATCAAATTTATCTTCCTTTTGAGAAACTTCGAGTTTCTCACTAG